GGCAGCAGTATGGGAGGCCCGTAATCTGCCAGCACCCTATGTCAAAAAAATGGAACACACCAGCAGTGTGTGAGGAGACCTGAAAGTGGCACATGGCAGAGTGTGGCGATGGAGACAGCAGCAATGGGAGGCCGTACAGGGACCCATGAGAGACTCTGGACCTGGCAGCAGCATGAGGAGGCGGTATAGGGGCCCATGGCAGATTAGGGGCCTGGCAGCAGCTATGGGAGGCCCGTAATCTGCCAGCACCCTATGACAAAAAATTGGAACACACCAGCAGTGTGAGGAGACCTGAAAGTGGCACATGGCAGAGTGTGGCGATGGAGACAGCAGCAATGGGAGGCGTACAGGGACCCATGAGACCCTATGACAAAAAATGGAACACACCAGCAGTGTGAGGAGACCTGAAAGTGGCACATGGCATGGTGGCGATGGAGACACAGCAATGTACAGGGACATGCTGCACTCTGACCTGGCAGCAGCATGAGGAGGCGGTACAGGGGCCCATGGCAGATTAGGGGCCTGGCAGCAGCTATGGGAGGCCCGTAATCTGCCAGCACCCTATGACAAAAAATGGAACACACCAGCAGTGTGAGGAGACCTGAAAGTGGCACATGGCAGAGTGAGTGTGGCGATGGAGACAGCAGCAATGGGAGGCCGTACAGGGACCCATGAGAGACTCTCTGGACCTGGCAGCAGCATGAGGAGGCGGTATAGGGGCCCATGGCAGATTAGGGGCACTGGCAGCAGCTATGGGAGGGCCCGTAATCTGCCAGCACCCTGAAAAAAAATGGAACACACCAGCAGTGTGAGGAGACCTGAAAGTGGCACATGGCAGAGTGACACTGTGGATGGGACAGCCTGGCAGCAATGGGAGGCCGTACAGGGACCCATGAGAGACTCTGGACTGGCAGCAGCCATGGAGGATTAGGGGCCCATGGCAGATTAGGGGCCTGGCAGCAGCTATGGGAGGCCCGTAATCTGCCAGCACCCTATGACAAAAAATGGAACACACCAGCAGTGTGAGGAGACCTGAAAGTGGCACATGGCAGAGTGTGGCGCATGATGGAGACAGCAGCAATGGGGAGGCCGTATGGGAGGCCCGTTAAGGGATGGACATGGAGACTCTGGACCTGGCAGTTTTGGGGCATGATTCATGGCGGATTTAGTCAGGGTGCCCATGGCAACTGGTGGTTTGGCAGCAGCTATAATCCACGCCTGATTCATTATGACACAAACGTGTGATCTCACCAGCAGTGTTGGGTGAGACCTGGAAAGTGTCACCCGCAGAGTTGGCATACCTCCTGCCGCACTAACACAGGCGCTCCGATGCCACGCCTACTGACCTGGCATGGCAGCTAGCCTTCAAGGGCAAATTCAGCTAGTTGGGGCCCAAGGTCAAGATTTCGTTGCCCAGCAGTCAAGGGGATTGTCTACCTCGGTTGGCAGGGTGCTGTCCAAGTGGCCCAAGCCTGTTGTTTGTGGTCCTGCTCAGCAGGTCCAGGCCTGATGGGCATGGCAGATTAGGGGCCTGCAGCAGCTATGGTTAGGTAGTTTGCCAGCACCTATGGTGAAGAAATGCTACACATCATCGACTGCAGTGTGAGGAGACCTGAAAGTGGACATGGCAGAGACACTCCTACCACCCACCCCTCCCCTCCATGCTGCTGCCATGGCAGCGGAATGGGAGGCGTACAGGGCCCACAGTGTCTGAGGACTATGGACAGTTGGCAGCAGTAAAGGCAGACCCTAGGCAACTGAATAGGTGGAAACCATAGCAGTGTTATTTTGGCCTCCCTGGCAGCAGCAGGTGTGAGGCCACCATTTTCTGAACGGCAGCGAGGGTCCAACAAGGTGGACAGCCAAAAAGTCATGAGCTCTGTCTGATGGTTATTATTCGGGACACCATGTCGCTACGCAAGCAATGAGGAGCATGCTATGGGCCATTTGTGCAAGGAATGCGGGAGGGACGTAATCCCAGCCCCATCTCCACAAAATACTGCCACACCAGCGTCTGGGTCCTCTGTCTCCTCCTCCTCCTCCTCCTCACCAGATGCTCCTGCTCCTCCACTCCTGTCCGCTGATGGGTGGAAAAACCAGCCATTTCACTCAATAATTCCTGAGCACCAAATGTCCTCCTCTACCTCCTCCTCTTCTTCCTGTCCTGCCCCACAGGGGTCATGTGCCAGTTGAAATCTGTGCGCCACAGTGTCTACCGCACCTGACCAGCCATTGTTAGAGCATTTGTTCCAGGACTGTGCAGCACATGAGGAATGACGTCAGGGGTTCAGCCCATAGTCCTGCCGACTCACGAATAGCGTGGCCTCCTCAAAGGGCCTGAGCAAGCGGCAGTGTCACGCATGAGCTGCCCATGGCTGACATCGAATGGTTATGGGAGGGAGTACCTTTATCCGCTTGTAACATCAGGAAATCGGTGATGGCCTTTCGCTGTTGTAAAGGCGGTCTACCATGTCAGACTATGGCACAGCATTGAATTCCCTTGTTGCAACATCGCAGATATGGCGATGCTATGTGGCCCGTTCTGCCAGCTGCCCTATGACAAAAAATGGAAACACACACCAGCAGTGTGTGAGGAGACCTGAAAGTGGCACATGCAGAGTTTGTGACATTGGAGGTTGCAGCAGTGCATGAGGAGGGATTACAGGGGCCCTTGAGCAGATTGATTACTGGTGAGCCATGCATGGCAGCATGGTATAGGGGCCCAGGCCCGAGCTGGCCAGCACCCTATCTTTCCAGGAAAAATGGAAACATGCCAGCAGTGTGTGAGGAGACCTGAAAGTGGCACATGGCAGCAGTGTGGCGATGGAGACACTGAAAGTTACAGGGACCCATGAGAGACTGTCTGGACTGGCAGCAGCATGAGGAGGCGGTATATAGGGGCCCATGGCAGATTAGGGGCCTGGCAGCAGCTATGGGAGGCCCGTAATCTGCCAGCACCCTATGACAAAAAATGGAACACACCAGCAGTGTGTGAGGAGACCTGAAAGTGGCACATGGCAGAGAGTGTGGCGATGGAGACAGCAGCAATGGGAGGCCGTACAGGGACCCATGAGAGACTCTGGACCTGGCAGCAGCAGCATGAGGAGGCGGTATAGGGGCCCATGGCAGATTAGGGGCCTGGCAGCAGCTATGGGAGGCCCGTAATCTGCCAGCACCCTATGACAAAAAATGGAACACACCAGCAGTGTGAGGAGACCTGAAAGTGGCACATGGCAGTGTGGCGATGGAGACACTGTGCCGTACAGGGACCCATGAGAGACTCATCTGGAGGCAGGTACGGGGGGGCCCATGGCAGATTAGGGGGCCTGGGCAGCAGCTATGGGAGGCCCGTAATCTGCCAGCACCCTATGACAAAAAATGGAAACACACCAGCAGTGTGAGGAGACCTGAAAGTGGCACATGGCAGAGTGTGGCGATGGAGACAGCAGCAATGGGAGGCCGTACAGGGACCCATGAGAGACTCTGGACTTGGCAGCAGCATGAGGAGGCCCGTAATCTGCCAGGCGGTATAGGGGCCCATGGCAGATTAGGGGCCTGGCAGCAGCTATGGGAGGCCCGTAATCTGCCAGCACCCTATGACAAAAAATGGAACACACCAGCAGTGTGAGGAGACCTGAAAGTGGCACATGGCATGAGAGAGTGTGTGGATGGACTGGCAGCAGCATGAGGAGGCGGTACAGGGGCCCATGGCAGATTAGGGGCCTGGCAGCAGCTAATGGGAGGCCCGTAATCTGCCAGCACCCTATGACAAAAAATGGAACACACCAGCAGTGTGTGAGGACCTGAAAGTGGCACATGGCAGAGTGTGGCGATGGAGACAGCAGCAATGGGAGGCCGTACAGGGACCCATGAGAGACTCTGGACCTGGCAGCAGCATGAGGAGGCGGTATATAGGGGCCATGGCAGATTAGGGGCCTGGCAGCAGCTATGGGAGGCCCGTAATCTGCCAGCACCCCTATGACAAAAAATGGAACACACCAGCAGTGTGAGGAGACCTGAAAGTGGCACATGGCAGAGTGTGGCGATGGAGACAGCAGCAATGGGAGGCCGTACAGGGACCCATGAGAGACTCTGGACCTGGCAGCAGCATGAGGAGGCGGTATAGGGGCCCATGGCAGATTAGGGGCCTGGCAGCAGCTATGGGAGGCCCGTAATCTGCCAGCACCCTATGACAAAAAATGGAACACACCAGCAGTGTGAGGAGACCTGAAAGTGGCACATGGCAGAGTGTGGCGATGGAGACAGCAGCAATGGGAGGCCGTACAGGGACCCATGAGAGACTGTACTGGACCTGGCAGCAGCATGAGGAGGCGGCAGGGGGCCCATGGCAGATTAGGGGCCTGGCAGCAGCTATGGGAGGCCCGTAATCTGCCAGCACCCTATGACAAAAAATGGAAAACACACCAGCAGTGTGAGGAGACCTGAAAGTGGCACATGGGCAGAGTGTGGCGATGGAGACAGCAGCAATGGGAGGCCGTACAGGGACCCATGAGAGACTCTGGACCTGGCAGCAGCATGAGGAGGCGGTATAGGGGCCCATGGCAGATTAGGGGCCTGGCAGCAGCTATAGGAGGCCCGTAATCTGCCAGCACCCTATGACAAAAAAATGGAACACACCAGCAGTGTGAGGAGACCTGAAAGTGGCACATGGCATGAGACACTGTGGCGATGGAGACAGCAGCATGAGGAGGCGGTACAGGGCCCATGGCAGATTAGGGGCCTGGCAGCAGGGGCATGGCAGATAGGGGGGAGGCCGTAATCTGCCAGCACCCTATGACAAAAAATGGAACACACCAGCAGTGTGTGAGGAGACCTGAAAGTGGCACATGGCAGAGTGTGGCGATGAGAGACAGCAGCAATGGGAGGCCGTACAGGGACCCATGAGAGACACTCTGGACCTGGCAGCAGCATGAGGAGGCGGTACAGGGGCCCATGGCAGATTAGGGGCCTGGCAGCAGCTATGGGAGGCCCGTAATCTGCCAGCACCCTATGACAAAAAATGGAACACACCAGCAGTGTGAGGAGACCTGAAAGTGGCACATGGCAGAGTGTGGCGATGGAGACAGCAGCAATGGGAGGCCGTACAGGGACCCATGAGAGACTCTGGACCTGGCAGCAGCATGAGGAGGCGGTATAGGGGCCCATGGCAGATTAGGGGCCTGGCAGCAGCTATGGGAGGCCCGTAATCTGCCAGCACCCTATGACAAAAAATGGAACACACCAGCAGTGTGAGGAGACCTGAAAGTGGCACATGGCATGAGACACTGTGGGACCCTGAGGACTCTGGAAGCAGCATGAGGAGGCGGTACAGGGGCCCATGGCAGATTAGGGGCCTGGCAGCAGCTATGGGAGGCCCGTAATCTGCCAGCACCCTATGACAAAAAATGGAACACACCAGCAGTGTGTGAGGAGACCTGAAAGTGGCACATGGCAGAGTGTGGCGATGGAGACAGCAGCAAAAAAGGGACCCATGAGCACTGTGACCTGGAGCCTGCAAAGTGGCACATTTGGGGCATGATTCATGGCGGATTTAGTCAGTGGCAGATGTGTCAGGAACTATGGGGTTTGAAATCCAGACTAATCCACGCATGATTCATTTTCACAAAATGGTGAGTCTCTCCACACTTTGGGTGGACAGTCGTGTCCTCCGCGTGAGTTACAAATACCTCCTGCGCACTAAACACGCGCTCCGATGCCACGCTACTGGCCGGGCATGACAGCCTTTCAAGGGCCTTTCAGCTAGTTGGGGCAAAGGTCAAGTTTCGTTGCCCAGTAGTCAAGGGGATTGTCTACCTCGGTTGGCAGGGTGCTGTCCAAGTAGGCCCAAGCCTGTTGTTTGAGGTCCTGCAGCCAGGTCCACCTGATGCTGCTGCTGCTGCTGCGGCTGGTTTAGTAGTTTCCTCACTGCGCTGGTGAAGAAAGCTACTCATCATCGACTGCAGACTGAGGCAGCGCTGCTGGTGGAGCTGCCACTGCTCCTACCACCCCCCCCTTTGCTGCCATGGCAGCGGAACGCGAGCGCACAGGGCCACAGTGTCTGAGGATGGACGTTGGCGCACAAAGGCAGAGACCAACTGACTACATAGGTGGTTTTTATAGTACGTTATTTTTGGCCAGCCTCTCAGCAGGTGTGAAAAAGGCCACATTTTTGAACGGTAGCGAGGGGTCCAACAAGGTGGACAGCCAAAAGTCATCCCTCTGTCTGATGGTTATTATTCGGCTGTCGCTACGCAAGCAAAAACCGAGCATGCTATGGGCCATTTGTGCCAAGGAATGCGAGGGACTCCCTGCTCATCTCCACAGCATACTGCCACGGTGCGTCTGGGTCCTCTGTCTCCTCCTCCTCCTCCTCTACCAGATGCTCCTGCTCCTCCACTCCTGTCCGCTGAGTGGGAAAAACCACCCATTTCACTCAATAATTCCTGAGCACAAATGTCCTCCTCTACCTCCTCCTCTTCTTCCTGTCCTGCCCCCACAGGGGTCATGTGGCGTTGAGATCTGTGCGCCACGTCTACCAGCACCCTGACCAGCCATTGTTAACAGCATTTGTTCCAGGACGTGCAACAGAGGAATGACGTCGTTCATCCCATAGTCCTGCCGACTCACGAATAGCGTGGCCTCCTCAAAGGGCCTGAGCAAGCGGCAGGTGTCACGCATGAGCTGCCAATGGCTGACATCGAAGTTACACAGGGGAGTACCTTTATCCGCTTGTAACATCAGGAAATCGGTGATGGCCTTTCGCTGTTCGTAAAGGGCGGTCTACCATGTGTGGGTTGAATTCCACCTTGTTGCAACGTCGCAGATCAGGCGCTGCTGTGGAATTCCGTTCTGCCGCTGCAGCTCAAGGAGGGTGTGCTTTGGGGTGTAGGAATGGCTGAAATGCATGCAAAGTTTACGTGACATTTTAAGGATGTTTGCAGTGGGATGGTGGATTTTAGGAACGCTTGACAGAATGGGGCCAGATTGAGCCGTAATAGTGAGCACATGCATGGCGCATGGGACAACCACACCAGCAGTGATGAGAGCAGACACCATGTTCTTTCCGTTGATGGTCAACATGGGGTTCCGATTTTCATTTTGCGCGGGATGACAGCCATCTGGTCAATTTCTCTGTTCATTACACTGAGAAGGACAGTGGACCCCTGTGTGACTACGTTCGCCTGGACCTGGCAGCAGCATGAGGAGGCGGTTTATAGGGGCCCATGGCAGATTAGGGGCCTGGCAGCAGCTATGGGAGGCCCGTAATCTGCCAGCACCCTATGACAAAAAAATTTGGAACACACCAGCAGTGTGAGGAGACCTGAAAGTGGCACATGGCAGAGTGTGGCGATGGAGACAGCAGCAATGGGATGCCGTACAGGGACCCATGAGAGACTCTGGACCTGGCAGCAGCATGAGGAGGCGGTATAGGGGCCCATGGCAGATTAGGGGCCTGGCAGCAGCTATGGGAGGCCCGTAATCTGCCAGCACCCTATGTCAAAAAATGGAACACACCAGCAGTGTGTGAGGAGACCTGAAAGTGGCACATGGGCAGAGTGTGGCGATGGAGACAGCAGCAATGGGAGGCCGTACAGGGACCCATGAGAGACTGTGGACCTGGCAGCAGCATGAGGAGGCGGTACAGGGGCCCATGGCAGATTAGGGGGCTTGGCAGCAGCTATGGGAGGCCCGTAATTGCCAGCACCCTATGACAAAAAAATGGAACACACCAGCAGTGTGAGGAGACCTGAAAGTGGCACATGGCATGAGACATGTGGACCTGCAGCAGCAGCATGAGGAGGCGGTACAGGGGCCCATGGCAGATTAGGGGCCTGGCAGCAGCTATGGGAGGCCCGTAATCTGCCAGCACCCTATGACAAAAAATGGAACACACCAGCAGTGTGTGAGGAGACCTGAAAGTGGCACATGGCAGAGTGTGGCGATGGAGACAAGCCCCACCGACTGTTTTGCTCGCTGCCAAGCTGCCACTCTTCTCCTGATGATGCGGAAGCAATAGCCTGATGACGACGAGGCTGCCAAGTGCAATCAGCCTCATCATCATCAATTAGGGTCTCCGCCTCACTACTAGCCCCCTCAGCTGCGTGTGGGTCAGGAGACACTTCTGACCTGTCTCTAGACCGGCTACGAGCCACTCTCCTCGCCACTACTTCTTCGCCTGGCTGCTGAAGAGGCGGATGTCTCCCCCCCATTCCTGACCGCCCTCTGTTAGCTCTTCCTCACTGTACTGGTGACACCGGGAGCACTGGCCTCTGGCTGCGAATAGTGCTGCCTCGACCCCTTCCTCTGCTGCCACGTCTGCTCGCTCCTAAAACATTGCCTCCTCTTCCACTAACCTCTGCATGTTGTCTGACATACTCTTTAATTAAAACGATTCTGTGTCCCTGAGTAACAATTCTGTGTCTGTCCCTGAGTAAAAAATTCTGTGTCTGTCCCTGAGTAACAATTCTGTGTCCCTGAGTAACGTTTCTGTGGCCCTCAGTAACAATCTCTGTGTCCCTCAGTAACAATTCTGTGTCCTCAAGTAACAATTTCTGTGTCCCTCAGTAACAATTCTGTGTCTGTCCTGAGTAACAATTCTGTGTCTGTCCCTGAGTAACACAATTCTGTGTCCCTGAGTAAAGTTTCTGTGGCCTCAGTAACAATTCTGTGTCCCCTCAGTAACAATTCTGTGTTCTGAGTAAACAATTCTGTGTCCCTCAGTAACAATTCTGTGTCTGTCCCTGAGTAACAATTCAGTGTCCCTGAGTAACAATTCTGTGTCCCTGAGTAACAATTCTGTGTCCCTCAGTAACAATTCTGTGGCCCTGAGTAACAATTCTGTGTCCCTCAGTAACAATTCTGTGTCTGTCCTGAGTAACAATTCTGTTGTCCCTAAGTAACGTTTCTGTGTCCCTAAGTATACGTTTCTGTGGCGTCCTAAGTAACGTTTCTGTAGCCCTAAGTAACAGTTCTGTGGCCCTCAGTAACAGTTCTGTGGCCCTCAGTAACAGTTCTGTGGCCTCAGTAACAGTTCTGTGGCCCTCAGTAACAATTCTGTGGCCTCAGTAACAATTCTGTGTCTGTCCCTAAGTAACAATTCTGTGTCTGTCCCTAAGTAACGTTTCTGTGGCCCTAAGTTAACGTTTCTGTGGCCCTAAGTAACGATTCTGTGGCCCTAAGTAACGATTCTGTGGCCCTCAGTAACAATTCTGTATCCCTCAGTAACAATTTCTGTCTGTCCCTGAGTAACAATTCTGTGTCCCTAACTAACGTTTCTGTGGCCCTAAGTAACGTTTCTGTGGCCCTAAGTAACAATTCTGTGGCCCTCAGTAACAATTCTGTATCCCTCAGTAACAATTCTGTCTGTCCTGAGTAACCAATTCTGTGTCCCTAAACTAACGTTTCTGTGGCCCTAAGTAAACGTTTCTGTGGCCCTAAGTAAACGTTTCTGTGCCCCTAAGTAACGATTCTGTGGCCCTAACTAACGTTTCTGTGTCCCTAACTCTCCCTGAATACAGCCAGGTCTGCCTCTGTTGAATGACTGGAGGCAAAATGGAGAATTCTAAAATGGCCGCCATTTATAGCTCGGACCATTTACACTGTGCTGGCTGGCTGGCTGCTGATTGGCTAATGCGATCACATGTCATGAATGAATGCATTATGGGTCAGCGCGCCTTGTCTGCGCCTTCCCAGACATCCCCGCTCCGTCGCCGCACATGTCGCCGCCATTTTAGGAAAAATTTTGATTCGCGCATCCGAAGTCTGCTTATTTTCGGATTCGACGAATCAAAAAAATTTTCCTAATATTCGAAACGAATTCCACTTCGCCTACTTCGATTCGCTCATCTCTAGACTGATGATATAAAATGGCTTGGGACGGAGTCAGTCAGAGAAAATGCAAGAAGGATGCGCAGGGTACATATATTTAACCCTCCAGCAGGACTTGGTATGGCCTGGCAAAGGCTAGAGGAAAGATATGGATCACCAGAGGCAATTGAAGGTGCTCTAATGAAAAGACTTGAGTCTTTTCCCAAGCTAAACAGCAAAGACAACTTGAAACTGCAAGATGCTGGGTGATATTCTTTGGGAAGTCCAGTGTGCCAAAGAAGAAGGCTATTTAAGAGGACTTGCACATTTAGATACCG